TCAGCAGGCAAGAGATGGGGGGAGGGGGAGCCAAGGCAGGGAAATGGTGTTTTAAGACCACTTAAAACAGCAGTTACCAAATCAATTTTTTCTTTTATGTACAGATAATTTGCAAACTTGCCCTTCTGTCTGTGGTGTGTACTTAAACAGGCATGACGTCTTTACTCATGCTCACACCAGCTCTGAAAACATTAAAAGCCCAATGTTTTAAAGTCAGGGCTAGTGGGGGGGGGGGCTAGTTCCACCTGTTTCCCAAACTGGAAGGATAGGGTTAAAGGATAAGAAACTGATTCAGGCTGAGGAAGCAGATACAGACTCATAGCAACAGGTGTTTACTGCAATTTGTCATCGTGCCAGATGCACAAGTGCCTCTCACTCTATTGGTGAAGCTACTCCTCCTGGCTAAACCGGACAGTACTGCCAATTCACATCCACAGCCATTAACTTGGCCTGGCTGCAAAGCCACATGCCTTTCCAGTGACGGGTTGCAGCACTCACTCCATTTGTCTGCCTGCAAGGAATTCCAGCAGCTGAGCCGCAAATGCCAGACAGATCTTAACCCAAGCCCCTTTCAGCATTAGCACCTTGCCTTATTTAACCCCGCCACACTCCTGATTCAGCAACTGCAGGAATCTCATCACAAGTCACACAGGCAAATATTACCTCCCTTCATAAGGCACCTAGAGCCACACCTGCAGCTTCAGTGAGCCCCAGCACTGAGCCCTCTTGCCTGTCACCAGAAATGCTAAGCTAGGAGAGAAAACTTCGGACAACAGCATAATCGTTGCTTTCATTCCACGCAAACCGTGGCTGGGAAGACATCCCCAAGTGCTAGAGCAAGTAATGCCTATGGAGATGCTGTCCTTCTGAATCCCCGCAAAATTCCTGGAGCATCAATGGCAGGCACGGAAGCCCAAGAGATACTCAGGACCCCTCCCCCATTCCACACTGCCAAAAAGCAATACCCTGAGTCCTTGGCGACATTGTACCAATCCAATTTAATGCAAGTGGCTTCCCCTGGACTCTATTTGCTGGAAGGCTGAATGCACTCACTTGCCACTGCTGTCTGCTGCTTCCTCTTTGCCATCTGTGCTGCCCTCTGCCCTGGCGGACTTGCTCGTTTCGTCCATCCAATCGGAGACCTGTTTAAGGGCACACTCAACTGTGGAAACCATGGTCTGTACAGCCTCGAGTTCCTCTGGAGATGGATAAATGGTTGCGTGTTTCATCATCACATGCCGGTCATCATTTGCGAATGATCGGATAGATCTCTGTTAAGAGAGGCAAAAAAAGGATTGAAAGGGGGGAGGGGTTATTTGCAAACTGGGGGGCAGCCATGTAAATTAGGGAACATTACGATGTCACAGTTCACAAAAGATGTAGGACGACATCCTAGAACTTATTCAAGGGAAAGCACATGCCCCTCTCAGACCTAGTACTTGCAGGGCCTCCTTCAAAGAAAAACAAAAGCTAGGTAAAGTAGGTTCAGAAGAAACTGGAAGTCCAGATCATTCAGCCGTAATCTGCCTCCTAGCTCTTATGTTCCCTTGTGTGGAGGAGGAAATGCTCTATCCTGATGGTGCCCAGCAGAGTCGGAGTTCAGCCTCCCACCGCCTCCTGGTTCCGCCACCACAGGAGAAGACAGGATGGGCAGCAGGGAAGCAGGATGGTGCCAAAGCTGTGAAAACCCCACGCTCTCACCATGTGGTTTGCAGAACCCCAGGCTGCCTTTATTTAGAATCGGATAGTAACATTAATTTCTCTCAGAATTCTTACAAAAGATTCCCTCTTACATCTGACACAGCACCCACATATATTTTTTTTCACGTTGCCTCTGAGCAATAACATTTGGAGGACCCAGAAAATCAATGGATTGTTCTCCCATCAGTTGGCAGGCAGGAATTCATTAACTGCGTGTGCATCACCATGCATTTTCTCTGCTCCTGAAACTTTTTTTGTGTGTCCAAAATATAGATTTAGGAGAAACTGCAGAGCACTGCAATAGCTTAGGTCCAGGAAGGCACAGCAATTCCTCCTGCTCTGCAATAGAAACAGGAGAAGGGGAAAGGGCGTCCCTGGAGTGTTTAACAATTACACTGGATCAATGTGCTTGGAAGATGAGCGCAACAGCTCACCCCAACAATAAGAGAAGTACAGCAACGACTTTGCCTTGTGGGAAGCAGAGGAGCGTCAGCATTTTTGGTTATGTAACCGGATGGAGTTCAAGGTCACCTGAGCCATTCTGGCAACAGCTTGCTAATGCCACTTTTATTCAAAAAGGTTATTTATGAGCATCCCCTGTGTTTGCACTTAATAATTCATGCGCTGCAGCCTCCTGCTCAGTGGTTTTGAGGAGGCTCCGGCAATAAATCAAACCCGTTTTGCTCTGCTTAAAAACTGTGCCAGCCCGCCCTTTAACTTAGTACCAGTTCATAGCCTCTTCCCCACTCACACCGCTTTTTGTTACCAGCGTAGAGAGGAGAGCAGGAGAGAGCATGTTCCCTGGCTTGGCTTGTACGCGCTCATTCTGGAATCAGCATCTAGGACCCTACCATGGCTGGCCACAGTATGTTTCAGCTCCGGTGCCTTTCCCGTTTCTCCTTCTCCCTCCTCCTCGGTGTCTTTGCTAGGCACTGTTTCGTCTGACAGAACCTCCTCATAAGCCTCTCAGTCTCTTGACGGCTCAGGAGGTCACACAGGCACAAAGCTCTGGAAACTGGATTCTGCTACACACCTCCTGCAAGAGAGAAACAAAAGGAGGAAAGCTATGCTCAGATAAACATGAAAACTGCACTTTTTTCATTGCTTCCACTGAGAGCGGGGCATGGAAAGGATGCCCCAGTGTCTCAGTGACAGGCAGATGCCTCCACAGAAGGGGGTTAACAATCAACTCCAAGGGCCAGGACCCCCCATGATCTTCTGAAACCTGAAGGCAAGAATTAAGGCAGTGCTCCCTGGCTCTCATCAGTGTGTTTCTTGGTGCCCGCCTGCTCTTTCTCCAAAGCATCTCCTCATCAAAGCAAAGAGCCCGCCCTGTCTTTCTTCCACCTCAGTGGAGTAGGATATGTTTCTGAAGAACCCAAGAGGCATCATCTTTGTGTCTGGCAGAGAACACCCATTCAGAAACAGCTGCTTCCATGACAGGAAGATGCCTGGGTTTGAACCTCACAAAATTTTGAAATTGGACAATAGCCCCATGGCAGCCATTGTGTGACTGGTGCCTACTACCCGCTCTCAATATTTCAAATGCACCCACAGATTCAACAAGACTGGGGACCTCCAAGTTATGGTAATGCAACCTGTTGGTAAGCACTTTCAGCTATTAGGGTCTTACCCCATTACTTTTCTCCGACCTCATTTTCAAACAATCCTATGCACCCAGCCCCTACAGACTGTTGCCACTATGACCATTAACACAGCACTTGAAATGTGTAACATTAATTGTATTCCATCCAACAACAAAACCTGTGAAGCTGGTCACCATTATTCCCATTTACAGATGGGAAAACTGAAAAGCTGACATCTGGTGCAACATTTAGTACTGTAAAAAACTCTGCTTCAATTAAAAAAAAATAATTCTAAATAATCCAAGCTTTTCACTGTCATGATCAAAGAGAAAAAGCCTGGAAACATGCAGCAGTGTCTAGAAGAAGTTCAAGCAACCTGAAAGCAGTGTGTGTTTTTGTGTGTATGAACAAGACCCAAAAAGTGCCATCCTCCACACATCCTTCCTTCTCACCTACTGTTGCCCCCTCTCACAGTCTCATACAACGCCCATATCCTGTCCTCCTTTCTCAGCCTTTATCAATGCTCTCCATGACATTTCTTAATTTTTTTCTATATTTTAATTGTGGATGAAGAGTTCTGTTAACTAATTCAGCATGTGCAAACATAATCCCTGCCTGAGAATTTACATTGCCTGAGGTCAACAGCTAGATTTGCATGTGGGGTACACACACCCCCAACACATACAGGGGCTTTTAAGGCAGGATATGCTTTAGAATGAAATGGTGACAGATAAGGAAAATGATAAGGGAGGGAAAGACACCTCCACTCAATACTATGCTCAACTGGGCTTCCAAAGCACAGGAGGCAGTCTGCAAGAGAAGCAACTGCTTTGTTCACTTTAGCATCGGAAGATGCACCAATAACACATCTTCATTCTGTGAGTGAAGCATTCCACCTCTTTGTGGAAAGCTGAAGTCCCCACATGGCAATGGGGGCTTATGGGTAAAAGCACATCTATGAATTCATGCTATGGAATCCCTGGCCACGCAGTATCATTTACTGAGGACAAGGAACCCCTAAAAGACAGCTCAACCACCTTAATTCAATCACTCAAGCAGAATGGATTTTAAAAAGATTTTTTTTAAAAATCAGATTTCTCTGGATTTTTAAACTTTCAGCTGTAGTATCTCTTTTTAAAATAGCTTCATTTAAACTTAATGAAACCCCCTCTCTTAAAACTGAACTTATGATATAAAAAGCTGCTTTTTGCTCTATTTTTTAAGGGGGGGAAAGAACTGGAGAAAACATCTTTGCTGGTCATCATACAGCCTAATGGTTCATACTATTATGGCTTAATTCTGGGGGCTTCTACCAGCTAGCAAATCCATTGATCCAGCTGGCCAGCTCTTTACTTCTCTTTTACATCCGTTGGAACCGTACCCTAATTATAACTAGCAACCAAAGACCTCATAAAGAACACTGATCTGCCCAGTAGCTACTATCAGCCCTTGCTTTTGCTGGAGAATACTTGCTTTGGGGTGGGATGGCGGTAGGTGAAGTATCATAAACAGTATACTAAAGCAGAAGGGAACTCGGGAAAGAAGAAGCACTTGCTGGTGTTGATGCTAACCAATGCTTGTCTAAAAAACCCCGACATGGCTGCAGTCAGAAAAGAGACCTTATGCACGTCATAAGTTAGCCAAACTACACAATGCGCTGTATATCACTTTCTAAAAATAGTTAAAAAATATTGAACTGTTAAGGAAATTATTGCACACCCCCTCTCAAGGTTGTATGAAGGTTCTGTTCCATTTTAAAACAAAATGGGTTGGATACTACCCATCTGTTCCACTGACACCAGCACATTCCTTTGCCTCCTGGCATGTCCTGCCAACGCAAGAGCCTCCTTCACCACTGGAAGAGCCTGTCATGTCGGCAGACGTCTCCCTGAGCCAGAGGAATGTGCTGGCACCAGTAGAATGAACCAGTAAGATCCAACCCATTGTAATGGCTATAGCAACAAATATGAACTTTTGTTTAGAAAGCATCTAAATAATAAGGGGAAATTTTGGTTTCTGTTTGTTTTAATCAGGCAGAAATCTGCCCTACCTGCAAACATGTACTCTGCTGGTGCACCTTGTAATCCTGAGTATCAAACCACTTCAAATGAGGTGCTGTCTCCCAAACAATGAGAGATTATCAAACTTCTGTTTGGCAACAACAGCCAAGGCAGGAGAAGCAACTTGAAAGCAGCAAAGGCGCCTTTGGCAGCTGGGCCACAACAGAGAATAATTAAACCGTTGTGTCCCTGAGAGAGTCAAACAAGTGACGAGAGCACACAGAGGATTCGGCTGGGCTTGTCTTCCAATTAAAGGGGAAAATGAAAGACCAATTTACACCACTAAATAGATTTGGCAGTGCCTGAGATCCACTGCCATTTGCAGGAGCAACCTCCTCCTAAAGCCAGCATTCCTAGACATAAAGGACAGGACAAAACTGGGCAGGGCTGAGGTAGGAGAGTATACATTTTGAGGACAAAAGAGGCAACTAGGCATGCTGGAAATATGGATTCCAGAGACACACATCTTGGAGAGAAAACAGGCCGTAGACATGAGAGAAAAGCACGGAAGGATTCAGGACTGGAACACTGCCGCCCAGTATTCCCAGGGCATTCCTTTGGCACACAAATTATCTCTCTCCACCCCCCACCCCCACAATGCCCCTCCTAAAGTCTTTGTCAGTAAAATCTTCACAGAAGCTCTTTTCCTGTGAATCCTCTGGAGACAGATGCTGGGTTACTGGTGTGTGCTTGCATAGCCGCTGGTTCTTGCAAGAATGGGGCTACTCATCTTGCCTTTGCTACCATATGACACCATCATGCAATAACTTAAAAAAAAGCCATTTCCTACACAAAAGAGCATTCTTGGGTTCACAGAGTGCAACCAAGACTCCAATCAATGTGGTGATGTGATCCAGTTCTCAAACTTCCTATGTTACACTTCCTAAAATACACAAGACCTCCAAAACTTGGTTTTGGTCTAATTATGCTCAGAATTTTTCAGTATCTATATACATCTTCCCAGTCCACAAACCTTCAGAGCCATTGCTCAACGAGGCTAGTTCTCAAAACAGCCCCATCAGATCCCACTCCCTGCTCCCACAACATTCAACCCTGGCATTTCCCTTCTTGTCCCCCATTTCTGTCCCAACTTCCCTCCAGCCTCAACCTCAGCAAAATATTTTATTATTTCCTAGCCTTGAAGTTTGCCACCAACAACACTGAATTACTGTCCTTCTTTGGTGCCCACAAGCTGCCCCTTCTTGGTGCTTAGCTGAACAGAATCTGGTGTCTTGAGAAATTGCCAAATAGATGTCATAGCACAGAGAATGCATTTGTGCACTATCTCGGGATCAAAACACACCTCTGCAAGGGAGTCTGGAAGCATCAATTTCTGGTAGTATCTTCAGGAAACCCAGTGGAACATCTAAGCAATCGCAAATGCACCTCAGAGGACCATACCTTTTCCACACTGAAGAAAACCCCAACACTCAACAACCTGTGGCTAATTTTGGAGAGGCGGCAACAATACAGCTTTTAAGAACCTTCTTGTCTAATTAAGCAGCAGGACAAGTCTGACAGGTATCATTGTTTAAGCTTGTTCTACCAGCCCTTCCTCCTAGCAGAGAAACAAAAGCTTTCTGGGCAGGCCGAAACCCTGCAGCATTTGAACCAGTTAAGAAATTCATTCCATTAGAGGGCGTTGAAAAATCTTTCAAGGAGACTTCCCCCACAAAATATTTCCCTGGAGCAGGAAACTTTCACAGTTTATGAAAGTATTTAGTAAAATTCAGGTGGGGAGCTCTGTTGGTCTGAAGCAGCAGAACAAAGTTTGAGTCCAGTGGCATGTTTAAGACCAACAAAGTTTTATTCGAAGTGTAAGCTTTCATGTGCAAAGCACACTTCTTCAGACAAATGGAATAAAATCTCCTCAAGGGTTAAAAAGGTAAAGGTAAAGGTTCCCTTGCTCGAAAGCCAGTTGAGTCTGACTCTAGGGTTGCGGTGCTCAACTCCATTTCCAAGCCGAAGAGCCAGCGCTGTCCGAAGAAGTTTCCGTGGTCATGTGGCCGACTAAACACCAAGGCGCACGGAACGCTGTTACCTTCCCACCAAAGTGGTACCTATTTATCTACTTGCAATTTCTTGCTTTCAAACTGCTAGGTTGGCAGGAGCTAGAACCAGAGATGGGAGCTCACTCCGTCATGCGGCAACTCAAGGGTTACTTACAGGAAAAAAGAAAGTGGGGGGGCAGCCATTAGGAGGGGCCACTCAGAGCCAAGATGCATATGCAGAGCTGAAATTGGATCAGGAGGCTGGTAAGATCAAAGGATAGCATCAAATTAGCAAATAAATGCATGTATTAACAAAAAATATGTGAGAATGAAGCTAGAGTCCGGCAGTACCCTCAAAACAAACCAAGCTCAACCCTGTGTACATGGGAGAACAGAGAC